CCCCCCCCCCACACACACACACAAAAGAAACTGTCCAGTTGACCTGTTTGAAAAAAATTCTGTACTCCTCCAATCGCACAGCAAATGCATTTCATGGCTGTTCCCTAGTCATAACTTAATATCAGGAAAGCAACGGCGTTGTAATACACTAAGGAATTAAGCACTGTAGCGAATGCAGTTTTCCAGCAATGTTGGTGTAAAATCCACAAAAAAGGAATGTTTCCGAAATACAACACGGCCATTGCTGTTTGCTGGTCAGAGCATACGTGTTAACAGAGACGCAAGGGTGGACTAAGCCTTGACTCCTCCAAAAAAAAACAAAAAAAAAACCCAAACATAAAACCTCGTAACCTCGTAGCATATGCGGCCTATTTAAAGACTAGAATAACTTATTTTCTAACCTGTAGTGTTCTACTTGCCTTAAATCGTCTGCTGTAGTGACGTAAACACAAGTTTTAGCTCACGTTAGCTTAAACGTTAGCTAAACTATCTAGCAAGCCACAGGTAAGAGAACAAAGCTAAAACATAAAACAGACAAAACATAACCAATTACCTTCAACTTCTGAATGGATCGCAGCAAGTTTAGTGCAGGCAGTTGAATTCCGTGACAAATGAACTGAACACAGATGAGCTCCGATAAAAATGACCACAAGATGAGCACCGACAGAAATTAAAATAATATATTAACTGTTGGTTTATGAACGAAGCGCGGTTCAGCAAGAGTGGCGTTGATTGGTTGGAACATGATCACGTGCTACTCCGCCAATCCAATCATAACGCTCGGGTTCCGAAGCCAGTGAATACAATTCTTCTTCGTGTTTTTTATGGCAGAAAGTAAACAACTTCACAAGTACCGCCACCTACTGAAAATTAATGTGTACCTCCGTAATTCAACGCAGAATAAAATTGAATAATAACAATAATAATAACAATATTCTTCAAATAAATAATAAGGTAACTACTAAAATTTGTAAAAAAAAAAAAAAAATGAATAGAGGAAATGCATGTGATATAAGAATGATTATTTTGATGCTTTTATGTCAATTTTATACTTATTTTATACTCATTTTATATGCAGCTTCACTGTGCAAATCAGGCCTTGTGCTGCAGAGGGTGATGTGCTTCAAAGGAATGTAGATAAGTCTCCGGGAGTGTTCTTACCGAAAGACTTGGCCCGTCTGGCGGTTACAACGACCCGGAGTTTTCTGTAAACATGTCTTTCATCCATCAGGCTTGTACGCAAAGGCCTTGGGTTTGAAAGAAATGTTTTAAGAGCCATCACTCTGCTGCACAACTGCCTTGATAACGGGTAAACATGTTTTGCTCTGCCTGCACGTCACCCAGCCAGAGGGGGAGTATAAAAGTGTAACACTCAGAATAAGAGTTGAAGTCTGCTGTGGATCCTGATCCGATGCCCAGCCTGAATTGATGTTACCTTCTCACTCGGACTGAAATGGCTTCCCGGTCTGGTGTCACGGTGGGGGGCTTTTTACATCACTATCTGATTTGTACTGAATGTACTTTTGCTTCACTGTATCTGTGGCAGTTTAATAAATGACACTTATTATTCTAGCAGAAACAGCGAGTGAGTTTTTATTCATTGCTCCGACCATTTTCCCCGAACCTGTATTTTAAGATAATTTCATAGAACAGCATGTTAAAAAAAATGATGTCTATATGACATCCAAGTCTGACGTTATATTGACGTACAAATGTCAAAGACGTCCAAAAGCGGACCTTGTTTGCACGTCGGGGGGACGTCCAGAATTGGTCTTCGACCAACGGACCCAATATAGACGTAATCTGGACGTCCACTAGACGTCTAATGTTTAGTGGGCAATGGTACTAATTTAATTAATATTTACCGCATTTTACCGGTACTACTTGACTTCCGGTCACATGACCTCAACAAGACTTCTGGGTAGTATTTACCAGTAAATATTTTTTTTAATAATTTCAGTTACGTAGGTGTTTGGCACTGTTCTGTTCAGTGATTATGCTTAGATAGTTATTGTGTTCATTTTGAAGGTATAATAGTGTAACCATGAGTCAGACAGCGAAGTTTCACAAAGACTCATGATGATCATGTAGAGTGAGTGTGTGTTCAAAGCAAACTATATTCTGTGAACTGCCATCTGATTCTTGTACTATAAGAAGAAAAGGTACAGAGCTGGAGCAGACTGGGGACACAGATCCCAAAAGATGAATGGTGGAATGCATGCGGTTAAATAACCAGAGCATCTTATTTATGTACAAAATTATGATTTATCTTATATTTAATAAGTGTAGTTTAGAGACAGGTGTGGTCATTAGCCCGAGAATTACGGTAAAACGTACAGGATGCTGCTTCTCAACAGGGACTGAACATCACTGCCTCAAATTTCTGCTCAGGTTGTCCCTCTTTCACATCATGCATTGTGGCGTTATTGTAGAAAAAAAAAACACTTTGGAAATAGAATCAAAAAGTTTTAATATTTATTTTAAACTGCAATGTTGCCAAAGGACATGGGGAAAAAAACAAACATTAAATTTCCTTCAATTTTCATGTGTGCGAATGTTTAAATACAGATCTTCAGAAAGCGCCAACATGTCATTGGCAAGGGTTAGAAAATATGACGAGTTTAAAAATGTACCACAAAAATTCAAATAATTTTGTCAATGGCTACAAATTATGTTACTGACTTCAAATTGTCCACAAAATTATAAATCACTCATTTCTGTTAAAACATGCTGCACAGAGACTTAAACTGCTTTCTGACCGTTTTTAAAAGCTGAATTTGTTATAATGGGAAAATGTATTGAAATATAGGCCAGACAAAACCAAATATTTGCATTTATTCTTTTTGCAGCTGATTTGATCACATCTGTTCTGATTTGAGACATCACAAATATTTTAAAATCTACAGGAATAAAAAAAACATTTTCTAATTCTAGAAATCAAACGTTAATATTAGTTTAACATTTCTATAATAACAGCTTAAGTTTAAGCCACATTATGTTTGTCACATTGAAATCAGTTTGTTTTTTTACTGATGTGATACTCAATATGAAAAAAAATTACAGACATATTTAGAACAGCACATATTCTCTGCACATCATTAGTTTTGCACTCAAGCTTAAACTTGACACATTTGAATTGTTTAATGGCGGCAAAATCTTTTCATGGTCAACAAACTTGTCTGTCACAAGAATTGTGTTGCTCTATACCCTAAACTCTGGTCAAATAATTCACTGCAAGAAAAGCGGAAAACATCTAATGGCTACAAACATGCTGTTTATTGCATACTGGTTTGAAATGGAAATTATTTTAGTGTTATCATATCATCATACGGACTTCATACTAGTTAATATCCAAAGCCTATCTGCTTCATTGTTTCTATAAATGAGTGGGTGTTGTAGCACTTTGGTGGTTATGGTTTCTCTATAACATTTAGTACTCTTGCTGATCAGCTTTGTAGCAATAGACACCGTAAGACTTGACTTGTTTGTCAGGGAAACCAACAAAGCGCACTGCAGCTTCAGTGGGGCTGCAGTTCTTGCGGGGCCTGGAAATGGGGTACCGGACACTTCCATCAGCCAGCCAGCCAGCATCGCAGCGATCATAGCCCTCGAGCTTCCATGCAGCAAAAAGGTGTCCCACCTTGGCGATCACTGCTCTGTCATCGATGCACGCCTGCACAGCCTCGTCATAGGTCAATCTGTCTGGTTGAACCAGCCAATAGAAATGACCTGATGAAGAAAAGGCAAACTAGTTAAGGTTAGATAAGAAAAACGTTGACCATTGCATTCAAGAAGCTTTGGCTGTTCTATACGGTCAACCGAATATTCTACTGTAAATAACAATGTAAGAAAATGGAGACAAAAAAGTAAAAAATACCCTTTAATGAGGAAGCATAGCAGAACACGTCAAAGCGTCTGCTCTGCCTGTTTTGACGTCCATAACTTCTGAGGCCAGGCATGCTTTGGGAGCCACCACATGGTTCTCTGGGTTTGGTGATAGGGTACTGCACTGTACTATCATTCAGCCAGCCGGCGTTGCACCAGTCCAGACCATCCATCCAGGCCTTGTACAGCTGTTCAAAGGTGGCAACTACAGCACCCTGATCTATGCAGGCCTGCACAGCGTCGTCAAAGTTCAGGTTGTAGCGGCCATGATGGGGGTGGTATGGGAATACAACACCTGAAACTGGCAGGAGATTTTTTTTAGGGCAACATGTCAGCCTAATAGTCTGATTGAAGGAAATACTTAATATAATTTCTGTGTAAGCAAGTACTTTTTAAATAATATTTACTTAAAGGTATACAAAACAAATGTATTTGTTTTTAATGCTTGCCAATCTCTGTTATGTTAGGCATTTTTCACAGATGTAACTAAAAGAATGAAAACAAACAGCATGTTTAAAACAAAAGTCTAATATGAATACATGTATAATAAGTGCCCAAGAATAGATTTTCAATTAGTTTAAAGTTATGCGTTGAAAATGTGTGAGTATGTCCAGACAAAGTACCGGTTCACTCATTTGTTGAAGCTTCATTTGTAAATTCTAAGCAATTTAATACTCATTTGTAAATTCTAAGCAATTTAATACTCTATGACCTAAAAATAAATCTAAAAACTTTTTTAAAATTCAGCAAATGTTTAAACAATGTGATTAGTTGTTAATTAAACATTACAAGATTGTTTGATTTGTTTGAAACAAACAATACAGAACAAAAGGTTTAACACCAATATGTGCAGTATATATTTTTGCATTCTTAAACAGTAAGTTATTTATTTTAGCCATAACAACATGTTTGGTTTTCAGGTGAAAGTTTGAGTTTCAGATGTTCAACTTTAGAAAAACTGGAATCATCGCCATCGTGGTGTGAGACTGATTTGCTGCTCTGATTTGGGACAGTTTTTTATTCCCCAGTGGAATATCAGGAGAAACTGGGAAATGCAACAGGATTAGGACCACAAACATTAAAAAATAAAAATCGTTGGTATCAGTATTAACTGCATGCTTAGAAAATGACTGTGATGCAGACATTATAGAGAAAAAAGATAATTTGGACTGCTCATAAATAGTATGTCTATATCAAAAAACAGACATGGACAAATTGGTTTTCTCAGATCATACCATTGGTTGGTTCACTAACTATCTCTCAGATCGAAGGCAATGTGTTCAACATAATGGTACTTCTTCAAGTTGTTTAGTGGTTAACAAAGGTGTACCACAAGACTCAGTTTTAGGACCCACCCTCTTCAAAATCTACATAAGTAATATAGGTTAGCTCATTCCTGATGCATCCTTACATTTTTATGCTGATGATATGGTTGTTTATTGATGAGCTAAAACAGTTGTTAAGGTTTTCCATCTTTTGCAATCTGCTTTTGACATCATCCAGTCAGATTTGTTCCATCTCAAACTTGTACTAAACACCGGAAAAAACAAACAGATGTTGTTTTCAAACAGGAAGTCAGTTCCAGCACTCCTTCCCTCGATTTAATTGTTGAATGGTGTCCCTATTGAGTTTGTCGATTCCTACAAATACTTGGGTATCTTGGTCGATTCGCCTCTTTCTTTTAGGCTCCACGTCAAAAATTTGGAAAAGAAACTGAAAGTTAAATTGGGTTTCTTTTAGAGAAATAGATTCTGTTTATCTCTGAATGCTAGGAAACACCTTGTAACTGCGACTTTCCTTCCCTCCATTGACTATGGTGGCATTATTTACATGAACGCCCCTACAAGCACCTTGCAGATGTTAGACGCTGTCACGGTGCACTAAGTTTCGTAACTGTCTGTAACTATCGTACCCTCCACTGCACCCTGTATTCACTGGTTAACTGGTCATCTTCACGCAGACTCTCTCACTCTTTTTCTTTTACATTTTATTGTTGGGCGTAACTGGGACCCTGTGCGCACAATTTTGTTCCACCCCATGTACAACATGTGGTGTAAATGACAAATAAAGAAACTCTGACTCTCACTGGTACATTTTCATCTTTAAATCACTTCTTGGTCTGCTGCCTTCATACATCTCCTTCTACATGTCATTGCATAAGTGCAACTACAGCGTGCACTCTCAGGACATTATTACCTGCAGTGTTCCCTCAGTGAGGACTGAACTAGGCAAAAGGGCCTTCTCCTACTCTGCTCCTGTTTCCTGGAATACCTTGCAAAAAGATCTGAAGCTCTCAACCTTGATCTTTCTTAAGTGGCTTGAAACAACTGCTAAGTTCATGGCAAAAACCAATGCAGACATGTTCCTGTTTTTAGTTTTCTGCATCGCTTTACACTGAAGCTGTTTTTCTTTCATTTTTAATATAATTTTCTTTCATTTAATTTTCCCAATTTATATGCTTTCTTTTATGATTGTCTACTGTTGTCATCATTCTTTGTTAAAATCAGGTCTTTCTTCTAAATGAGTCTTTGAGGCTCGTTGAGACTAACCTGTATAAATAAAGTTTGAATGAAAGACAAAAGTTTTTTTTTTAAATCGTGTTCAGAAGAATTCAAATCTTGTCTTATATGACCAGAAACAAGACCATAAATCATTATTTTCAAACTGACAGTTATAAAAGTAACAATGTAAAAATGTATATTTACCCAGAGCTGGACCATTTTCTACTTCCAAGATGACATCTTGTATTATGTCTTCCACTCCATCCAGGATTTCACAGCGGTATCTTCCCATGTCATCCATGGAGATGTAAGTTATTATTAGGGAGGCGTCGTCACCATCTGAGTCCTGCAGAAAGACTCGATCCTCAAAACTTCCGTAAGTCTTCTTATGGATTCCCATTGATAACAGGACATCTTCATTCAGGGATTCATCTTCTCCCACCTTCATCCATTTAACTCTTAAACTGCCGAACATTGAGCTGTCTGATGCCCCTCTGCAGGGCAGAGTGACATTGTCACCTATTTCTGCAATGACTGGAAAAGAAGGAAAAATACAATGTTACTGGAACTAATCTGACCTGGAGACAATTCAGCACTCATCAATAACAATTATTGGCTACAATGACTTTGGCTATTTTTGCGTCTTTTGATGCAGCCAAGTTTTGCGACTGGGTTTGATCTCTATGGATAATATTTTGTTTGTAAATGGTAATAAACAGGTAACTGATTTATGTAGACAGCATGCAGTGTGCATCAAAGACTCTGGAGCCTGATTCATTTACTTTAGTACTTCAGTCTTCAGCTTCCACAGCCAGTCATCCTCTTGATCTTTTCCCTGCTGCTGTGTATACTGGCAATAGGCCTTTGGTTTTTCAGCATTAACTTTCAAAATGAAATACTTTTTCTTTATGTGTTCCATCTGATTCGTGTTAAACACGAGAGGTTTTTAAATGAATAGCAGAAATCATTTCCTCTGAGCAGTGATCTATGGCTTCCCTGCCCAAGCGTGTCCAGCCTTTAGCTCAAAAAACTGAGGGCCACCTCTGTCTCACCATGGGTCCCCATCATCTTCCTGAACTCCATGATTAGACCTCACAGGACTTGCTTACTTACCAGACCCCAACCAGCAAGTGCTGGCCTGAACCCGGCAGTAATGAGCAACAGATGAATGGCTGAACAGAACCCTTGACTCCCCTCTGCGTCCACACACTAACACACTACACGGGTTAGTTAACACTTCTACAGTCAGTTGTCACCCTCTCTCTCCATTTCTACTGTGTCTGATTTATGTAATTTTACATTCTCTTAGTGAATGCTTTGTGGTAATAAGACAATCTGCCTCAGATTTCTGCTTTAGAAAACCTGAATGTAAAAAAAAAAAAAAAATACATGCTGACATGTCTCCAGTAGCACATCTGGAATACAGTGTCCCTGGCTGTTCAAAAGGAAGCATCATATCCCTTACGGTTGGTATGAGAAATAAAGGGAGCTGCTGGCTTGCTGCTGCTCAACCCAAACTGTTGCACAAAGACCGATATGAAAGAGGTTTATAATAAAATCTGTATCTAAACTTTACTGCTTTTGGAGTTTTGTTTGAAGTCTATTTTTGTTTCATTTAATTTCTTTCGTTGTGTGTCAAATTTTGAATCCCTGCTCTAATGATTATGTTGCTTCCTTAATGTGTTTTTTGTGTCTGTTTAACCTTATGTGCAGTTTTGTGATTCAAGGGATGCATTTAAAGTCACAGATCTAGCTGTTTTAGTACGACTAGCTCGCTATAGTAACTCCTGTTGCAGATGCTGAGGTTTAGATTTTAACTTTCAGTTTTCATATAGATATTTTCTGTAAGCAAAGCAGATTATTAGATGAGGTAACCCATAACACATGCTAATTTCTTATGATGAATGTTGTTAAAACCACTAAACTGAATCACATATTTAAAATGTTAATTGCATGTGTCCCATGGCAACATATGCATGTTTTATGTTAGTGATGCAACAAAAGATAAATAATTTAGTTTTCTCAACCTAATTTATTGCCGAGTCTCACACTGATTTATTATCTTTACATGTTTTTGAATTTACTATTTAATGTGTTAGTGCACCCAAACTTTTGTACTGAGGAAAGATACAGTTATAATTTGTACTTTTTATGGAAGCTGGCAAAAAAAAAAAAAAAAGCCTGAAGAAAGAAGCCTAAACTAAAAACAATATTTGTTTATTAGAGTTTAAGACATTGATGAAGGAGCTAATGCAAGAAGACCTGAAAAAGTTGAACCTGCATCCAACACTGTCCAGGTTCTGTTTTCTTCCTAAAGCATTTCAGTTTTATTTTTTTCTTCTTAGACGACCTGTTTATTCAGTTGTTAGATTTGTACACCTGTACAAAAAGGTTTTTCATGTCCTCTTTCTTGTATGTAACAGTGTGATGCAAACTATTTCAGTTAAACTGTACAGTACATTCTTTACCTTCAGTGCCATTAAGATTATCAAGTACCTCTTCACATCGATTCAGGAGAATCACTGCTAAATCTAATCTGTTGCTCAATCCCACCTCATGCTCCCTTCTACTTAGCTTTTCACTCATAAGCTCATATTTGCCAGCAACTTCTTCTGTCACTACATTTTAAAATTTATTAGCGCCACTCATGTCTGGTCAACAAGCTGCCAGGCACTTTATAAGGTTACACCTTAATTGCTTATGACTAATTTTTTTTTCCACAACAAAATGCTGTTAAAAATATAGATATTTGTTGCAAATTTTTCCAGTGAGAAATGACTCAACATTTCCTGCCTCGTTAATTCTCTGCATGGGTAGCGGTAGCATGCGGTGCAGCTGAAACCTGAGAGTGACTCAACAGCTCATCAAAGCGCTCGCAAAAGGTGATGTCAGCATGCACTCCCAGAGTGTGATGCCACTCAACTGAAAAGCCAGAATATTTCCAAAGTTCTTTAAAAAATTTTTTTAATGAGAATAGAGCAAACAAAGGTGTTCACTGTCCTGTCACATAGATACTTTATTTTGTGCAAAGTAGAAAATCAGCCAATAGCAATTCTGCAAAATCAGGCACAATGATTAATAAATATAATAATTCCAATGTAAATATCATGTTAAAATAAGTTTACACTCTTTCCTGGTCCTGTAATCAACCCTGTCCTGCAAGGTACAAATGACCATAATGCAACATCCAGTTGAATTCAGCATCATGGTTGAAACTGTAGGATTTTTATTTTAGAACCAAAACCTTCAAAGTTACCATCTATTGTGAACCAACATGTATCATTTTGCATACAGAGCTGTAATTAAATTCTGCAAAACAACTTCTAACAGATTTTTTTTGAAGAGTCCGGTTGGTAATGAGAACACTGTAAAAATCTAAGTAAACCCACATGTACAGGAATAAAGCCGCAGCAGCCAAGCCCTACTGCCATTTTATTACCAAGCACAACCTTCTCTTCCTCAGTAAAAAAGTGTCATTAGCAAATAATCAGAACCATGTGTTTCTCTGCAACACCGAACGTTACGTCTGTGTACTGAAACTACATTTAAGTTGTTTAAGCCAAGAGCACTGATCAATTGTGGCCCAGATCCTAGATGTAAACACCTGCAAATCTGAAAATTGCACTTTGCCTATTTACATCACTGTGTGCCACACCCTTTAATGGAGCAGTGAGGCAAAGGATGGCTTGCAACATCCCACAGCTTTTACTCTCTTCTTGCTGTTGGCTCGTGTGAGGGTGAGAGAATTAACAAGCGCAGCTGGGACAAACGCAGCAGGCTAACTCCTTCATACTAAGTCCAATAAGCTATTGTGTTCTGTCATACAGGATCAACGCAATTATGTGTTTTTGTGTGGAACGTGCCATCATTTGGGCACATATCTGAAATTATCAGTATAAATCAACAGGAGTCAGGGTCAAATTTTAAACTGAGAATGAAACATCTAATGTAACTCTATCAATATCTTATTGTAACATTTCCAGCCAAGCTCCCTTTTTCCACCCAGCCTGACCAACTAGGCTGAGGCTTCAAACCAGCAGCCGCAGTGAGCGTTAGACTTAACGGACTATTACCTCACAGGGAAAGAGAGAGTAATTTGGCTACTGTTCAGTATGGGGCTCTACACGTTCGGCTGTGGGTCGTTAATCTTCACTCGGCTCTTGTCAGGTTGGCTGTTGCCATGGCTCGTTTCCAAAAGCTCCCAATGTTACAGTGAGCCAGTATGCCAAAGGACGGGCAACACCCCGTGAACAGACAGGCTGCTCTTATTACAAACTTTAAAAAAAAAACGCACAGAACAATGATTGATCTGACCGCAGCTGAGCAAATGTTTTATTATATAATGCAGACAGAGAAAAGTCATTTAAAGTGCATAGAAACATGACATCACCAGCTCGTGGGAGAAATTTCAATGACTGGAGAAAAAAAAATGCTGAATCCCCTAATGGTGTGAAGCCCTTTTCCTCACTGTGGAGCCATTTCCTCTACTCCTTGGAAGACAGACAGCTGAAAAACGCCTGATTTTGCATGAACTGAGTCAGCTTGCTTGACTGCTGGAAATGCATTATCACTCTATAACATGACTGCTTTGGAATAGCCTATATTCGTGTTTTACCCAGCTGCAGTAGTGCAGTATAATAACTCACAAGTGCAGTTGGATGGAATACAAGTGAAGGTAAAATTACGTGCAATAAAAACATAAAAAGAGCAAGAAGTAAATGCTTAACCCATGGAAGCTCAGGATTATTTGCTCTTCTAAAGAAGAGTTTATGTCCACACAAAAGGACAAGCACTACTAGCCCAGTTTCAGCCACTGAGGCAGTTGTGACCTACTTTTAGTACAACAAGTGGGATTAATAGTGTGTGGGTCTTGTGCAGTGGGAGCCACCAGTAAGCCCCCATGGTGAATGACAGGGTAATTTATTCCCCAGCCACTCCATGCTGTGGTGGTCTGTATGCAAGTCAACGAGTCAGTGGTGAGTCACAGTGTGTCTGGAAGTGTGTTACCCCAGAGACAACTCTGTTAGTCTGTTCTACAATGACTCTGTTGTTGCATAAGATCGCAGTGGTACCACTTTACTCAGATCTCTTACACAGTTCATCTTCCTCCTGCTCTTCACCCTCATGTACACTGTCATACATACATGTGTGCATTCATTCATAAAAAACACTGAAACATAATCAATGAAACTCAAAGCATTTGCAGAGTTTTCTTCTTACCTTTCACTGGAGTTGGAGAACTTGCCATTTCACTATCTGCACTGCCAGCCAGAGTCAGGAAGACCATTGTAATGCACAGCAGACTCATCATTTTCTCTTTCTTTACCACTTTTAGATTTTAATATAAAAGCCCTTTAAATCAAATGTAAAATTAAAGAAATTTAACTATTTTAACTAATGTCTTTCTAATTCTTGTTCACCTGTCTTTTTTTCCTCTTTGTGCAGCAGCTGCTTGTTGTGGTGCTATAGGAAAAATTTGGGCTTCTCGGAGGTCCAGACAAGTTCCTTTTATTGTAGCCTTGCATGGTGGAGACCACTCCTCCTCCCCTCAGCCCATCACCATTCATCGCTTCTTTACCAGGTCCTCTTTGACACTTCTTATAAAAAATGCCCTCCTCTCTCTTGGGGGAAATAAGAAGGCAACAACGGAATTTAGGCAATTAACTTGCAAACATTTGTACAATCATATAAGAGGTAGAACTTAGATGGTGTATTTTAGGGAAAAGAAGCAAAATAATTTGAACAAAATCTAATTATCATGTAAATGCCTTAATGCACAAATTACTACTAAGACAATTCATTATGTCAAGTCGAACACTTAAAGTAATATAGATGCTAAACAAACAGTCTGCGTATAAGTTGTACTTTCTATTCTTATGAATATATGTATTTTCTTTGTGTCATTTTTTTCTTTTCCTTTTTACACCTTTGATTTACAACATGTGTAACCATTAGGTTGAGAAAGGAAGTGAACAAATAGCTACACACTGTGCAGTTATAGTAAATTATGGACTATCAGTCTCCTCTGACAGAGGCAGAAGTGGAGGCATTAGGTGGCTTAATGCAGGCAAGCTGTTAACTTGTAACAATGAGGGTAGAGGCCCCATGTGGTCGCTCCAAAACCTTTTGTCAGCCACTCAAGTGGTCTTTGAAAGATGGCAAAAATGAAAATGGAACAACATACTGATTTGGTTTTTATGGAGTGCTTTATTCTGGAATTACTGTAACTTCATATTGAAGTTATTATAGCTGAGACACCCAAAAAAGTTTTCTACTTTCTTTAACCCATTATTAGTCCATCAGCCACAGAAAAAAAATGACCGTTCAATACATGTTGGGCCTCTGATCCATAAACCTGTAAGTCAAAACTTAAACTACATCCGCATACTCCAAGAAGGGATAAAAAAAAAAAGTTTGGGCTCATTTTGACAATGGGTAAAAAAGTGTCACAGACATCACTTCAAAATATGAAATCTTACACGACTCAAACAGAAGGATACTGTGGTTCCTCTGAAATATTACAACACAGCTGGGATCACCTATTGCACTGTGTCAGCATACATGTAATAATTAAAGAATATTAAAGGTAGATCAGCCTGTAACAATTTTACTGTTAATGGAAACGTAACCATATAAGCAAGAACCTCCTCTTCCAACAGTTGCCCATTTGTGAGGAGACTATAATCTGGCACACATGTTCTTGAAACAAACAATGTTTGTGTTAGCGCAGGAAGGACTTAAAGACAAATGGACTTTGTATACTGGAGGTTTACTGAAAAGCCAAACCAAAACCAAAAATTATGTTTGAGCTTAACATGGTCTTTATTAACCAATCAACAGAAATACAAGCCATGCCACAGTGTTAGGGAACTCAAGGATGGATGGATGGATGGATGGATGGATGGATGGATGGATGGATGGATGGATGGATGGATAGATAGATAGAATTTGTACAAAACACATTGGTGTTTATCACCTCACTGCATTGAGTGAGGTGATAACTCCATTTGGCAGCTGATGTGTTTCTCAGTTCTGTCTCAGGAGGATGCTGAACTTGTTTATATATATTTGGATTTATGATAGAAGGGGTTTTGCTCTTTGGCATTGGCGGGGCTCTGTTTTTATCAACTTTTGAAGAAAACATTGGCAGCCATTTTGGCAATGGCAAAGCTTCTGAGTCTGTGTGAAGGTTTGGTTCATGCTATGAGTACTCAAAATCAGCTGATTTACAAGCTAAACCGTAAGATGGAGGCAATTTGTGAGAATCGCAGGCCACCTACGGCTTCTAGGACTCACCAGCATGTTGTGATCAATCTTGAGGAAGGCTCATAACACGTGGAGCAGTAGCAGCGGAGTGAAATACCCATAAATCTGGCTATTTCAGACTGGGAAATTCCAGCAGGACTCAAGGCTGACAAGAAATAGTTTATATGAAGAAAATCAACAATTGTGGCTTATCTGAATCTGACTTCCCCGTTTGGCCTTGGATACAAGCTGACTATCAAATTTCTTCTGGGACATGGGTAACTAGGGGACAAAGCTTTGACTAACCCGCCCAAGAACTTCTGTGCAGGGTTATCAGAACTGCCGACTGAACAACAACATCAGGACTGTGGCCTATCTGAAAGTGCTCATGAAATAATCTCAACACCTTGACGTCAAGTACATATGTAATCATGTTTATAAATGTGCCTGCTGGTGGAGTTTTTTTGATGTCTCAAATCGTGTCCTGATAGGACAAAATGTGAAGAGATCTTTTTGTAATACAACTATCCATCCTCATGGCTCTTACCTTTTTCCATCTAAAAGTATTTTGATTAAAAAATAAGTGGCCGCGCTATTATAGCTGCAGCAACGTGCATTCCGCCCATCTTTCGGACCACTGTACGAACATAATTTCACTGTATCCCAGTACAAAGATAATAAAGCTTATTCTAATTTGGATTCTGAGGAGGGAGCTGAGCTGCAAGGTAAGCTCTCTGTTTACAGGTCGGTTTACGTTGCTACCTTCACCTGTGGTCACAAAGTTTGGGTTGTGACCGTAAGGATGAAATCATGGATAGGAGCAGTCCAAATGACTTTTCGCTGCAGGCTAGCTGCTTTTTCTTAAGAGACGGGGAGAAAAGTTTGGTTGTCCAGGAGAGACTGTTAGAGCCACAGCTCCCCCACATCGAGAGGAGCTTGAGGTAGCTTGGATATCTGGCAAGGATGCCGCCTGGACACCTCCCTAGGGAGGTTGTCCAGGCATGTCCAACAGGGAGGAAACCATGGGAAAGACCCAGGACATGCTGGAGAGATTATGGTTGTTTTCACACCTGATAGTCCGGTAGACTCGGTTTGGTTGGGGACCAATATTCATGACATTTTGTTTACATTTGAGCTGGTGAGTTTGCATTCACACTGCACTGTGTAGTCGAGCCAACCTGTTGAACCAACCTATTCCCCCCGCTCGCCTGTGGGGGCGCTGCACCAAGAACTACTGAAAGAAACAACACAAAAACCTCTGAAGACACTTCTTCTTCTTCTTCTGGAAATAAAAACAAAAACGGAGTGGCATCAAGTTTTAGCAATTTTAGGAGTTATATTTTGTCATTTTTCAAAAATGGACTCAGCATGAGCAGAAGATGAGGCAGAAGACAATGGAGAATATTGTTTTTCACACAAGGCAGCTGACGGCTCCATATGAGGTAAGAGAAATGCGTGTTTGTTTGCCCTGCACTGTACTCCACTTCTTGCTTGTGGAGCGGGGCCCGGTCTAATTGCATTCACACTGTACTCGAACCGCGCTGGAGTTCTCTTCTACCGGACCGAGACCTAGGTTTTAGCCCGGGCCAGAGTTCGCCTTTTTGTTCCGTGACAGAGTTCGATGGCGCGTTCACACCTCCCCAAATGAACTGGACTTTCTAGGAAAACAAGCTACAGTTTGATTAAAGCGGACTAAACAGGACTGGTGTGAATGCACCCTATGTCTTTTAGTTGGCCTGGTAACACCTTGGAATCCTCCCAGAAGAGGTGGCTGTGGAAAGAGATGTCTGTGCTCCAATGTTCATGTTGCTGCCCCTGCTACCTGAACCTGGAACAAGTGAAAGATGATGGATGGATGGAGGAATGTATGGATAAACGGATGGATGAATGGATGGATGGGTTTAGTAGCAGTGTTGGGTATGTGAATTGCTCACAAGAAAAAGAATACAAATTTTCTCTGCCAACATCAAACAGGTTGTTCCGCTCCTGACACTTGTTTGGTGCTGTTTATTGAATTGAATAATTGCTCTTAAGAAACAAGGCATATTAGCAATTGGCAGTTTATTTATTCAGCAAACAGAGACCTAATACCATGTGGAAGAACCATAAACAGTCGCAACAGAACAGCACCTCCTGCTCAACAGTTTGAACACACCTTGTTGTGGGATGACAGGCTTGAAGCGGCATTTGTTGTAAGTGAACCATTTTTTGAACGTCCAGAGGATCTGACTTAATTTTTTTTAGATTTTTCTACCTGGATTACTGAGCATGCATCAGGATAAACCATTGTGGTTGTATTGGTCACTCTGGAGTGAACAGCACACCCAAGCTGATCCCACAGGGTTGAGGGCAGGACTGCAGGCAAGCCTTTCTGTTGTCTCCACTCCAAAAATCTGGAAGTAGACTTTAATAAACCCCTTTCCATGAAGGCTATGGGATTGCTACGGGTTGCTCACGGGCACTGGCAATCTGGTGCAGCACCTGAGGTATTCAAAGCTTTAAACAATAATGCTGTCACTGAAAACAGACCACGAGATGCTTATTTAAAGGATGTCTGATTTTTTGCAATTTCAGATTCCTCAGTGTTACCAGCTAAAACAACATTTATATTGTCTTAGCTATAACTTTTTTATTTTATTTTAAATTACATTTTGTAGATTAAAGTTAACTGTTCATGTTTATATATACATTTTGTGGAGAAATTAGGAAAAAAAACGTGTGACGTATAAAAAAAAGTCATATGTATTTTCTTTATTTTACCTACCACACTAATAATTATATTAATAATAAATAAAAAAAACCCTAATGGGCAATGCTTGAATTCTTACTATAAAACAGAAACCTTGGTGAGATAAGCACATGCAAAACATTAATTTTGAATCTTTATACTTTTTTTGTTCAATTTATATGCTGATTTAAATCCTCGCAATGTAAATACAGTACTGCAAACTTAAAACCGCACACCAGCAAGACCTAGAAAACAAACAAACAAACAAACAAACAAACAAACAAACAAACAAACACAAACAAACCAAAGCTCAAAGGCAAATATGCATATGCTTAAGATTATGCATGTATAGAACTAGTGAGCACATTTGATGTCCCTCCCTGAAACGCCTACGTAAGTCTGTTTAGGGCAAGTCTCAAGGCCATGAGCACAACCACAGCTGTCTGCAGCTCCCAGCTCAGACCAAGTGGTATATTTCTTCTTAACAT